TGTTAAAGATAAGTACACACAATTTATTAAACAATGATATTAGATTATATTTTTGGCAATATTTTACTACATTTTAATAGATATTATTATAATTATTATAATATATCACATATATTGTCTGTATGTGAAACCATAGATACGTATTACAGATTACAGTATTAATAAATATTAATTACAAAGATTGTTTTATCTTTAAAACATTTATTATTTACATTCTTACTCACTTAAACGTCACAAAGTTAAATATAAGAATATACGAAATGTTTGTAATAAAGTAAAAAAATAATACATACATACAGGACAGTTTGGAAAACTTATATTCACATAGGTTATATAGGTACATCGTAATGTTAAATTATATTATTCACTTTCATAATCTACAGTTATCTACAGTTACTCTAGCTTCTAGTTTATTCCTGTTCCACCAACACTTTTACGTCTTTTAACTTAAAATAAACGTTTTGTTTTGCAACTTTATATTTTATTTGCGCCCAAACCATTTCTATAAGGTTCAAGTCTGGATGATATGGCGGAAGTTTTAAAGAAACATGTCCACATTCTTACAGCACTTTGTCAAATTTTTATTAAATATGATCTTCTTTGTGTCGTTTGATGATTTCATACAATTGCGGTTTTAACATTGACGTTAAAAATGGTAAATTTCTTTCTGTCAACCAAGATATCCTATCCATTTTTTTAGAATAACTGCTGGCTGCTTTATTAATTTGTACATTATGATATGAAGCATTCTCAGTAACAACAACAGATCCAACGGGATAATTGGGGATTAACTGTTCTTTCATCCATTTTTCATAATTTTCTGAATTCAAAAGGGCATTCCGTATGAAACCCATGTCCCCACTATCATGTATGATAACCAAACTACTTCCTTTTGAAATGTTTTTGAACAATCCTTTGCCACTGTCATCTGTTCAGCTATTTGGCATAGTGTGTCCTGCATGTACATAGGTTTCATCAACATATACAATTGACTTACCTTCGTTTCTATAATATTTAATTCTGACCAAATATTTAATGCGTAGAGCACGAATATCATTCCGTTCAATTAATAAACGTCGATTATCTTTCGTTTTCTTCCATTTAAATCCCAAATCTTCGATTCTTATCGATCACACAAATAACCACCTTCTTTTCCCTCTTTTCCTTAGTAGTTCTCTACTTCTTAGTTCGTGTTTCGTTCACTTGACGTTTTTCTCACACCCCTCCACAACTCCGTCACAAAAAAAGCAGTTCCCCATTCCTTGAAGAGGCGCAAACGTAAACAAGGTTAAAACTTAAGACTCACTCTCATAATTCTGTACAGACAACTCACACTTCCAGAACACTCGTACAACTCTTCAAGCCTTTTCTGCAAAGTCTTCAATGATACACGACAACGTTCAGTCTCATGAAATTGGTTAATGATATTTCTAATGAACTGTTTGTTATACTCCCTTAAGTCTGTCACAGTTGCTTTCCTTTTAGCAAGTGTTGTAGCTGGAAATTTTAGTGTATTATTTGACCCTGCGTTTGTTAACATACTCGCTTGTTGAATTATCCTTTCTACCGTACGTAAAGATACTACAGTAGCTTCACTCACACGTTGTTTAATACTGGTTCGATTATCTTCAGGAAATAGTATTTGGATATATTTAAATACATTGTAAACTATTCCTTTGGATTCTGGTGTCAATCTGATCTGTTTACTTGTACTACACTTAAATATCTCCATTCTACAAAATAGTTCTAATACGCGTGGTAGCACCTTTCTTATTGGGACTCGACAACATAATGAGACTTATAATTCTTATATGTTCTTATCAGTTCTTTGTATGTCCTTAACGAGTCGTTAAGGAATCATTAATAATGATTTTATAATTACGGTTTTAAGGTTACTGATACTAAATTAGAAATTAACTTTCACCAAACTATATATATAAAAGTAATCAATTATTAAAGATGGTATTATAACAAACAAAAAGTGTGGTATTTATAAAACAATCTGTGTACAATCAAACTCCACTTATTATTTAAGTGAGTAATAATTTTGTAATTAGTGCGATTTCAAATAATTTAATTTGTTTAATATTGCAACGCCATTGCATGGGTCTGATCATAGATATTCTATTGTCTGCGCGATTAACTATTTCGTGGAAGTGCTCGCCACTCGATTTAAAATAAGCTGTATAACAATTAGCAAACATGCCGGACCAATTTTTTAAGGTTGATTTATTTAAACTGGAAAAAAATCATGTCCGGTTTAAAAAAAAAATCTGCTCCCATTGTTTAATTGTGATTTGTTATTCCCATTTGGGGCCTCCATACGAGGTAGGAGTATGTATAGTTCCTTATCTTGTTATCTTTAATTTAATCCGACATTGTGCCGGATGCTAGAAAGCACTGGGACAAAATGGGTATATATATATATATATATATATATATATATATATATATATATATATATATATATATTGGGATTTTTCAGCAGTAAAATAAGTGTACTCTTTTAACTAAGTTTCAAGCTTTCGAAAATGTTTATTGTCATCATCAGGAAAAACTGAAAATAAAGTGCTACTGTTAGTAAAGCATCCTCGAAATCTATTAAGTGAGAACATTGTATGAAGATAAGGAACACTTACGTTATTGAGGTTTATCTTTCGTGAATGTTCTACTTACAGGTGACAATTTCACGCACCACTCATTGATTGAGTCAATAATTAAAATATATAAAAATTGCATGGTGTAAAAGACCAAACTTGACAATTTAATTTACTTTAACACATAAGAAAAAGACAATTACAAAAGTTAAAATGGCCACGTGTGCCGGCCAACTGTAGAATGTTAGGTTAAGAGTACCTGTCATTCCTGGACATGGCAAATGACAGTACTTCTTCTTATTTCTTTGTCTTGTGTAGTACTAATTTCACATCAAATTTTTAACAAAATTAATGTTTAAGTTGAAAACAAAATTGTAAAATGATAACTATGAGAATTCACGAAACCTGGAAACTTTACAATGAATAAGTTGTTGAGACATCATTGAATTGTGAATGTGTATCCAAATATAATAGGTAGGAGTAAATAGTGCTTAACTGATTAATGTCACTCCTTTTGTTCATTGCGTTTGAATTTTGAGCAATGAATGCCATTTCTAAGAAAAGTCTTTTTTTGTAATGGGATTCAGTAGCTAAAATTTTTACTGATTCATAATTAATTATATGATGTTCTTTATTAACATGTTCTGCAAGGGCAGATCTTTCTAGATATAGTCTGCTGTCGCTACGGTGGCTGATTAAGCGACTACCTAGGTTGCGTGTGGTTTGTCCCACATATACCAAATTACAGTTGTTACAAGGGATCTGGTAAACTACGTTGGAACAATCTTTGATGCTGCTTTTGTCTTTTACTTTAGAAAATATAGATCTTGCCGTTAATGAAGTTTTGAATGCTATTTTTAAATTGGGGAAATCTTTAAAAAGTCTTGAAAGTCTGGGTGTTATGCCTTTTATGCATTTTAGTGAAGTATAAGAGCAATTGGCATTTTGTTCTCCGCTTGTGACAATGTTTTGCACCTCATCATTCTGGCGTGCTACGTTCGAGGTCAAACTGAATAAAATCTTGGTAACTAGGTATTTTGGGTATGAATTGTCGATGAAAAGGTTTGATAGGATTCTTAGGTTCTTCTGATGAAAAGAATGATCACTGATAGCTATAATTCTAGCTTTCATTTGCTTAAGCAAATTGATTTTTATTGAGCGTCTATGGTATGACCAATAGTTGAGGAAACGTCCAGAACTATGAGGTTTTCTATGCCAGTCAATAATCAGGGAGTTGTTGTGGGTTCTAATGAACCGAGTATCAAGAAACGGGACTGAGCATAGATCATCCTCATGTTCGATTGTAAACTGTAGTAGAGGATCATAACTATTGAATACATTTAGGATTTCTGTGGATCCATTGTTAGGGATAGCTAGGATTAGGTCATCCACATACTTTTTAACAAAAGGAATATGAAAGGACAATTCTGGGATAACCATATCCAGTAAGTGGTCCATCACATAACAGGCCAAAATGGGAGAGATAGTACCTCCCATAGGAGTTCCTTGTGTTTGTCTGAACACAGTATTATTGAATGTGAAATAGGTGTCATTAAAAAGAAAGGAGATGAGTTTTTTGAAGTACTCCAAGCTGATATTACTGTGAGAACTGATAAAATTCCAATTGTTTTCAATAGCTATTAAAGCTGCATTTAAATGTACATTGGTGAATTATGAAACAACATCCAGACTAACAATCACATAGCATATATATATATATATATATATATATATATATATATATATATATATATATATATATATATATATATATATATATATATATATCGAAGTTATATGTTATATCCCAAAAATTGCAGCAGCTGTTGTACTATCTGTTCAACATTTTGCTTCAATTTAAAATTAATTGTTAAAAAATTATACAAATTAATATTTTTTATAGTTACATCTGTCATGATTTTGTCTATGTCAACCTATACCTAATGCAGTGTGCAATAATATTAGGTTGACAATTTTTATGTACAGGTAGTCACTGCATCAAACTAACACTGGCTATTAGTGAAGAATTAATTTACTGTCTACAATTTGCGGTCTTTTATATAAAAAAATAAAATGTTACAATTCAGTTATCCTTTTAATTTGCTAATTTACCAAAATTGTCCAAAAAAACTACTACAAATCTTGGTTTATATTAAAACAATTACTATTTTAATAATGTATTTTGAAAACGATTTCCACAGTGGTAAATGAAACGGCAATAAACTTATTTTAAACTTAAATTGTGACTTATTCCCATTAAAATAGTAATTGCTTTAAGACGCACAAGAAAATAGATTCAGAACAATATTGATTTATGATGTTAAAAAGTTTAACAAAATGAAATGTATTTAGACAACAATATTTAAAAGATCATATCTCGAATGAAATAAAAAGGATACTTACTCGTGTAGTTTTACATGTAGTCTTGCAATTTTACTTGCATATTCTGCTGCCTGCCGGGTACTATCTTGAATCTAAAATTTACAAACATAAATGTAAGATTTACTTTTTCTACTGTATTCAAAATAGCTCACCATAACAATTTCAGTGGCATGTTGATATAATTTAAGAGCATCGGCTGGAAGTTTCTGTTCTATAATTTTCGCAGCCTTATCTAAAGCTGAGGCTGCAGATTCTGCATTTCCTTGGGTGTGATACATATTCGCTGCTCTCTCGGCATATTGAGGGATTGCTCTTAGATCTCCCAATTCTTTACACACCAAAACGCACTGGTCAAGGGCTTTTGCGGCATAGAATAATCTATTTCGGTTGTTAAGAAAAATTGAAGCTAATATTGATTTATTAATTAATGTCAAAAACAATCTATTTAGAAACAAATGTAAATATATAAAAGAATAACAAAATTAAGTATAGAAAAGTCTTAAAAAATGATAGGACTGTTTCATTTAGAAATATACAACTTTATATTTCTTTAATTTTAGCTACAGAATTATTTTCTCAGTTAATAGATTCTTAGTTAACCGAGTTTCATTCATTCTGTTTTATGCTGTTTCCAATTTGTTCTACATACATTTATTTTTCATTGATTGAGTAGATATTCAGTTATCTAACGTCTTATTTTCTCTTCATAAATTCTTTTAGTAGCTTTCACTGTTCTCAGAAATCTCTTTTCGCTAGGTTGGATTCTAGAGTTATATCATTGCGTTATTGAATTGAATTTTCACATCATTATAACAGAGTAGGTGTGATCATCGTCACATAAGGTTTTATCATTTTATTGTTTCTTGTATTATTCTTGAAAGTTGCTATGTACCGAAACCTGTCAATTTTGCTATTAATGCTTTCTATCTTTTTCAAAACTTGTGTAACACCCTATACTTTAGCAAAAGATGAAATTCGTTATCCAAAATCATGAAAATAGCCAAAATCACGTGTCAATCATGAATTCTAAGAAAGTATGTTTCGTTGCTGATCACTTTAAATTGTAACAATAGAATATTATATTTCTGGTTATGATAATAAAAATAATACATTAGATCTAGTTTATAAAAATAAGTCTTCATGAATCATATTGTTACAAATACAATCCTCCCCACAACTGATCATACGTATTCGGCGGTAAAGAGAACCCAAGGCAATTATCAAGATTCGAAGTTTTCTTTTGAGAAAAATTTAATTCTCTTGAGTGTCAAAATAATCGAGATAAACGATTTAATAGCGGAATTAATCAATGTCCTAACATTATAACGAAATATTTTTACGAAATAGCAAAATAAAGACACAACAGACGAATCAACAGCTGAATTAGCAGCTAAATCAACGATTGCTGCAACTACGCACCCAAGCAAATAGTTTTATTTTACAAGCGTCAATAAAAAACTAAAAATCAACAGCTGAATTAGCAGCTAAATCAACGATTGCTGCAACTACGCACCCAAGCAAATAGTTTTATTTTACAAGCGTCAATAAAAAAATAAAAATTCCGCTAAAGGAACAACTGGAATACAAAGTAAACATTTAAATTACATGGTATTCAACAGGATTAATAACACAGCCCAACAAAATGCAAAATTTTTTTGATGCACTGATTTCAAAAATGTCTACTTTTTCATAGTGGTTTTTTTGGAATCCATTTTATAATTTTAACTTTGCTTGAAAATATATAAACAAAGGCACCTCGAAATCACCAGACGGACTTACAGTAAATATGATAGGTCATGTTATTTTAGACTCAAGACACCTATCGAATATAATCAACGTCCGCACCAGTAGAGAAGCAAATGCGGATTCTGATCACTACCGGGTCGAAAGTAGGGTAAAGGTCAGAATTTTAAACATAAAAAAAAGGAAATAGGTTCAAAACGTGAACGATACAACGTAAAATAGTCAAAGACAAACAAAAATACAGAATATAAACAAAATTTAAACTAGAAAACAGTTTAAAATATGAAAAATTAAAACATAAATGAAGAATGGGAAGGGTGCAGAAACATCACTAAAGAAGAAGCTGAAGAATTACTAGGTATGGCAGGTAAACAAAGAAGAACAAGAATGAATGACTGGTTTGATAAGGAGTGTCAGCTTATAACAGAAAAATAAAACAGAACATATTTACTGTTGCAACAGGGCACAGAACCCGAGAAGCAGAGAAAGTATATAAACACCTACGTAAAGAAGAAAAGAACATCCAGCGCAGAAATAAGAGAGAAAATATGAACAAACAACTACAAAAACTAAGTAAGCCAATAGAGACGAGAAAATTTTACCAGAAACCGAACAAAAGCAGAAAATAATTTAAACAAAAGATGTGAAGAGATAAGGGGGATAATATACTGACCTCAGACAATGAGAACATCAGTGTAATATTATTCCTAAAATATTATAATTCATACTCGTGTAATATAGTTTCGCATTTTGTTTATATATAATATGTTTAATATAATTTGAATCGAGGACATTCATAAATATACTCTAATTAGAATTTGTAAATCAGCACTATTGCCAATCACGACATATGCTTGGGAGCTCTCTTGGGAGCCTGGGATTATGAGGGAACCTCATATCAACATCACATAAGTACTAATTATATTTAAGATTAAGTAATTTTATGTAAAAGTGTACAGTAGTGTTTTAAATAAATGGTCACATAATTCAGTAACACGTTATTTACCTTTTACCACGTTATTTACCATAGCAGGAAAAAATACGAGAATGTAGTTTCTGAATGCGACCGAAAATGTTATATATTATATTGATATATTAGATGTTAGTTTGTAATACTCTAGTTTACATTTTCTATTGTTTTTAAATATGTGTTCTTATTTTATGACACACGTTAAATAAAAAATAAATTTATAGGCCTAAAGTGGGATAATTCCCGTAAGTTAGCCATATACCATATTAATTAAAAAACACAAAAATCGAACTTCTATTGTAAGTGGTATAATATTTAATTAAATAATTAAATTAAAAATCCAAATGGATTATAATAATAAAGTTCAGAACGTTTTCGGACTCATCAGTCCATCTTCAGAGAACTTTGGAGCACTTGCGCTACTAACCACAAGACCAAACAGTGGTTGGGTTTAAATTATAGACATCATACTTAAAAGTATTGAATTAAAAATTTTACGTTTATATTACGGATAAGTAACCGCAACATCATTGGACGTGAAAAGACAGTTACATTTTATTCTATGAATACATGTCTATCCTCCATATACTTAACTATCTGTCAGATAAGACAATATTTATCTGGAGGTGAAAAGACCGGTCCTTTCATGCAAGAAGTTTGTTATTTTAAAAATTTAATTTTTAATTCTTTTGAAAGTTTGTTGATCCTTAAAAAATTGGATGCGAAGTTGGTGATAGGTAAAAAATATAATCTCGAGCTTTTCCCAACAAATGAAGTCACAAACTAGAATTACGCTGATGTTTATACGTAGATCGATTTCATAAGACAAGTTTACGCAAAAGTTCAGCGATTCTCCAAAAGTGACTTATTTGTTATGAAAGTTGTACAGTAGACTAAAGTATCATTTTGTTGTCGTCCTAGCCTTAAATAGGAAGAAGAGAGAAACAATTGAGTGTATTAGTAACTGTAGAATGCAATTGATTGGATCCGGTGTGCATCTAAACATTCCGTATATGTATTCGGCACCTAGGACTTTTCTATTGGTTCTTTGCGGCACGCGGCAATGTTTCAACCAATAGGCGGCGAGGTGCCAGACACGTATACGGAATGTTACTCTAGTGCCAAATTCATATACGGAATGTTAAAAATATTTATAAACCAAAATAGACAACTTTTTATTAAAATGAGTTAAAAGGAAACTGATTCTAAAATATTTGTTAATGTGTGATTAAGGAAAATTAAAAGAATGCAATAAGAAATAAAACAAAATATATTTAAATAAATTTAAAAAAATTTCAAATGTTTAAAATGTAATATTTATGCGTAATTCAACGCCCTTCGCCATGTGTTTGATTTGCCTGCGAAATGCATATACGGAATGTTAAAAATATTCTTAAACTAAAATAGACGACTTTTTATTAAAATGAGTTAAAACGAGACTGATTCTAAAATATTTGTTAATGTATGATTAAGGAAAAGTAAAAGAATGCAATAAGAAATAAAACAAAATATATTTAAATAAATAAAAAAAAATTCAAATGTTTAAAATGTAATATTTATGCGTAATTCAATGCCCTTCGCCATGTTTAGTTGCATTTGTTTGATTTGCTGCGATATTGGACGAAAGATTGTGACTCCTTTTTAATCTTTTTTTAGGAGATTCATCTTTAGGTGGTCTTCCAAATGGTAATCTTTTTGACCCTCTAGTAACTCCCAACTTTCTTCGACTGATTGAAGTAGGTTGCACTCTTATATTGGCCTTGTGTCCAAATCGCCTTGCCGAGGAACTTCCTGTCGTGTTTAAAAAACTTTCCCAAGCCGTTTTTGTTTGAATATCGGATAATCTTTCGTGCAGCAATTTTAAAGTTGATGAATCAGTTCCAAATGTAACATTTTTATCTTGTAGCATATTAATAAAATCTGTAAACGAAAATGCTTGTTGTTCATCTGTTTCATTTTTGTTTAATATAATATCTTCTCAAACAATATTTTAATCAATATTATCAATGCTTTTAATAATATTAGGTTCTGTTATACATTTATTGGATCCTGCAAGTCCGCTATAAAATGAAAAAGGTTAAACTTTTTCGCCAAAAGCTAATTTAGCTACGTCTTATCGATCTTCAGGAGTAGTAGCTGGAACGTTGCAAAAAGATATATTAAAAAAATGTGCAATCGCAGCTTGATGCTTGCAAAAGGCACCCAATCTTCCAATTTCGCAACTGCAAAATCCTGTTGCTATATCGACTTCGGAAAGCACACTATTATTTTGCTCACTAGGAACTTTGTACAAATTTTTAAAAAAATTACTTATATCTTTCTGTTGTAAATATTTAATTTCTCCTAAACAAAGATTAAAAAGGAGTCACAATATTTCGTCCAATATCGCAGCAAATCAAACAAATGCAACTAAACATGGCGAAGGGCGTTGAATTACGCATAAATATTACATTTTAAACATTTGAATTTTTTTAAATTTATTTAAATATATTTTGTTTTATTTCTTATTGCATTCTTTTAATTTTCCTTAATCACACATTAACAAATATTTTAGAATCAGTTTCCTTTTAACTCATTTTAATAAAAAGTTTGTCTATTTTGGTTTATGAATATTTTTAACATTCCGTATATGAATTTGGCACCAGAGTAACATTCCTTATACGTGTCTGGCACCTCGCAGCCTATTGGTTGAAACATTGCCGCGTGCCGCAAAGAACCAATAGAAAAGTCCTAGGTGCCGAATACATATACGGAATGTTTAGATGCATCCGGTGTCGCATGGTGGCGGGCAAAATGTCGTATGGTGAAAGGTAAGACTAAAAAGACAAAACTATAAGATGAATAACTCATAGATATGTTAACATTTTACTCCCTACGTGATTGTTCTCCGAGTAAACGCAGAAGACTAAAATCCCAAAAGGCAATAAGCATCAAATGAGTAAAGTATCAAAAAATGGAAATTAAACAGAAGAGTGGGCAAATTGACATATTTGGGATTAATAATCGAAATAAATATTGGTGGAAAAATGATATACAGACGAGACTAACAAATGCACAACGGGCATCAATGCACGAAATAAATTTTAGCAAACAAATAATATAATCGTAAAAACAGCAATTAAAATTTTTAATAGATGTGTTTTATGGCTGCATTAAAACAACATTACTGTACAAACTTTCGTGGATAAATCTCTTAAAAGAGAAAATATACTGACCCAATAAAATAACCATACAGAACTATGGGAAGGAACAAAACACACATATTACCAATAATCAAGGAGAAAAAAAAATAAAAAATAGATTAGCCACATTTAGAAGGAGCCAAATGACATAGCGAGACAAGAACTCAAATATCAGCCCGAGGAAAAAAGAAAGAGAGGAAGAAAAGAGAATAATTTGGAAAGAATCATAACTATAGAACATAAAAACAGATTAAATTGGGGAAGTCAGAAACAGAGCAAAAAACAAAAGAGAAAGATAAGTTCCATTGTCAATCAGTCTTTTCGCATTATTGGCCTATAAACGCAGCAGCATCCAATACTTCACAGTCATGATCATGGTTAAGAAGTCATAGAAAAAAGTGTGAGAGGGAGAAAAAAATTTAAACGGTTATCATCATATAGTCATGAATACATTAATTAATTTTACTGTGACAGGTAATGCTTAAGCCTTAATTTGTACTCATTCCTTTGTAAGTAGTCCAGTCAAAATATGTGTAATATCGAAAATTTTACATATTAAAATAAACCTAAGAAGTTTTTTACAAGAAAACTGTTTATTAAAAAAGGATACGCCCTATTTTGTTTGTGACACTCTACTGCTTTGAGTAAGCAGTCTCTGCATTGATCGAATGATTTTGCATTGCGAAAACAGGTAGCTGAAACAAAATATGGCAATTAGAATATTAAATAAAATAAAATATTTTAAATAAATAAATTAAAATAAATAAAATAAAATATTTTTTTGGTATATAGCCATTTATAATTCTATTTTAAAATATTATTTATTACATATCACAAATCACTCGTAATGTACAGTACAAATTATATACATGTAAAGTCTGTTTAAAAGTTTACCATTTTTGTTTTTGTTTCTTAGCTGTCTTATTTGCTTACCACCATTGGCATTAGATAACATGATTTAGGCAACGTTTTTTTAATCAAAGTCTGGTTTTTATTTAAGGATTTTTAAGGGTTTATTTATTAACTTTGTTGATAGAAAATACATTGCTAAAAGAGGAAAAAAACCAAACTAGGATAATATATTTTGAGATAGACTTGTATGATGATGATGATCGAAAACTCGTATTTTGCGGTAAGTTTATTATTGTTGTCCCTATGCGTTTAATCATAATTTGAAGAAACATTTTTTATCTTAATTTATTTTAATTACAATTTTTTTTAGAACATTAAGAGTAGGTATGGTATGTGTAGAAAGATTTTTTGGTTGACAAATTGTGGCCCTTATTCCTTATTTATCGTTTTTGAAATTTTAAGTAACAATTAATTTACTTTTTGAATAATCGCTTATTTTGGATTTGATCAAGGACCGCAGTTTATTTAGATATGAGATTATTGTTGTCAGTATATTCCCTTTACAAATAAATACATTTTTATGTAGTTGATTACTTTTTTTGAATCTATTTTATTAAATATAATATTTTGCATTATATAGATCAGCATGTCATTTCTAATAGTTTTGCCAATGCAATGATTTTATGAAGAATTTGAGTCCTTCCTAAATATTTGGTTAATATTTATTGGCGCCCATCTTTGCAGTTTTCTTTTTTTTTGTTCAAACTATTATCTATCTGCTAGCTATCTATTATCTGTCTATTATTCATATCCTTACCCACCCCAATGATGTTAGCGAGAATGAGCAACTAGGCTTTCATAAAGATCCTGTGTATGGCTTATTACCATCTAACATCACTCTTTGTTCACATAGACATAATTATGGTTATATTCTGGCTCCCACCTGTGGGGTCTGATCTTCTCCTTTTAGGCATATAAAAATACAACTGGAATAGTTCTTATAACAAGTAATAAATGATTTACAATGCACATTTGAAAAGGAGAGATCAGTTATTGACTATATCTTCGTCCCAAGACAGCCAGACACAATAAGTAAAAAAGCAATAATTGAAGAATAATTTTGATAAAGTGATGTTTCAGTGGAAAAACTTTCTTTATGCGTTAAGCAAACTAGTGACGCAATGTATTAGAATTAATTTCAATTCGATGTCCTCCTTACAGAACTACAGAACTACAAAACAAGGCACAAGAGGAAAAACGTTACTTATGCAATAAAATTGGCAGTGTGTGGAGAGTTATCGTCTACAACACGTGTTTACAATGGGTGAAAGAAAAGCGTAAGCGCTTAAAAACAGTGAACAAACTTAAAAAAACTATAAAAATGTTTTTCTTCCAGAAAAATTGCCTCCTAATGTGGTGAGTGGAAAAACGTTATGTGTGTTAAATATCTGTAAACTCATATTGTCGTTTTAGCCTAGATCTTGTGCATGTTCATTCAACACATGTCAGTTAATTACCCCTGAAATGAGACACAACTTATTTAATGATTTCTATAAAAAAACATACAATGAACAGTCACAATATTTGGGGATATACGTGGAAGTAGATGAGGCAAATAGAAGGAGGGTAGATGAAGCCACATCAAAATGTCAGTGTACTGTAAAAAATTTTCTGTTGGTTAATGGAAAAAGACATTAAGTATGCCAAAACGTAGAGTCTAAATTTTATTTAAAAAAATCAAGTCAAATCAAAAATTACTTGACTGTCATTAAAAACACTTAAATTGTCCAACAAAAACCAAAGAGTCTGTAAAAGACCTAGTCAGACAATATATTTCGTCTTTTCCAGGTCAAGAAAGCCATATTCTTGAAACTCTATCTAAATGTGTGTACACTGGTCGATCCATGGTTTTGTGAATCATTCAGGCATAAGCCATATGAATTTTTTATCCCTATTGGCTATTTTAAAGAGTTGGTTTTTTATGAAGACTATGTTTATGATTTTAAAAACTGTAATTTTAATTCTGTTAACCTTTATCTGTCTTCAGTTAATTGGGATGCATTATACTGTTACGATTTTAAATGTTATGGCATATAGAACTGTAAATATTTTATGACTAATGCTTTTTTTATTGATTCTCGTAATTTGTAGGTCAAAATATACCTGAGCTTCGCTACCAGTTGTTTACAGAAATCTCTAGACACTAATTTTAGTGAGTCATCCACGTCTCGAGGTTGAAAAACGAGTCGAGCGCCTTCACCAAAATACGAGATGATTCAGGAAGTTTGCCGAAAGTTCCAGATGACAACAGTTGTGTATATAAATGAAAGATTTTTGTATTTGAGTTAGTCATAAGAAGCTCGGCAACCGCAATATTTAAATGTAACGAAACATAAATTATTATTTGTAATATAAATTAGAATTAATAAAGACTTTAATAAATTCGTAATTAGTTATCGTGAGTTTTAATAAATTAGAATATAGACAATAAATTAGAATAAAGACATATAAATTAGAACTATATAAACTTCACAGTGGTGCAGAAGTGGGATTGTAGATAAATTTAATTTGATTTTTGAAAAAGACTTTTGAACTTTTGAAAGGTATTGTTCGTCGGGAACATCCGCGTAGTCCAGTAGTGATCGTTGTACGAAAGAACATTTAAAAAGTACGTGTGTGCCTGACCAAAGATGCTGCTAGTAGAACTTTCAGTGAAACAGTTGCGTGAGCAACTAGAAGAACGCGATGAAGACTGCAGCGGGTCCAAGAAGATCCTCCAAGAACGACTGAAGACTGTTCTCAACAAGAATGGAGACGACCCAGAGACATTCCAGTTCCAGTCAGCAGAAGAAGCCGTTTTAAACGAAAATAATTGATGGAAAATTCGAGAACGTTTCCAAAAGATTGGATGAAACGTCTCAAATTATTAAAGAAGTAGGTAGACAAAACGACGAGAAACTCGAAAATGTGTCTAGAAGATTCGACGAGAAATTTGAAAATGTTTCTCAAATGATGGAAGAAACTTCTAAAAAGAATAATGAGAAATTTGAAGAAGTCTCTAAAACATTTGATAAAGTTGAAGAGAAAATCAAACAGTTAGAGACCATGATAACTAACACGAGAGTGCTACCACCAATTAATACGGTAGCTTTAGATCCGGTAGAGATAAAAGAAGACGAGACAAAATGTAAGTTGGAAACACGGCCGAAATTTGAAGGAAGTGGAAGTTCCGTTCATGTCAAAGTCCCAACTTTCGACGGAAAATCATCATGGAACAACTACATGAAACAGTTCGAATCAGCTGCAAGAGCGAATGGATGGTCTGAAAAAGAAAAGGCTGTAAACCTGACTATCGCTCTTCGAGGAGATGCCTTAGATGTGCTCCAGACCATAGCCGTAGAGGAGACGGATGATTTCGAACAACTGAAGAAGAGGTTAAATATGCGATATGGCCACGAACACTTGGAGCATGTATATCAGTCGCAGCTCAAAAATCGAAGACAAAAGAAAGATGAGGCTCTTCAAGAATATGAAGTAGATATTGCCAGATTAGTGCGATATGCTTATCCAACAGCTCCTGAAGACATGATGGAAAAGTTGGCCGTTCAAACGTTTATTGATGGTCTTTGTGATCATGAGATGCAAAGAACACTACGATTAGCTCGTCACAAGACGCTGATGGATGTCTTATCTGCCGCCCTCGAATACGAGTCAGCTACGCAGGCCTCTGGCGGGTATAGCAAAGTTAGGACTGTAAAAGAGGAAGGAGATGAAGATAAACTTGACCAGCTCGTTAATATGATGAAAAGCATGACACACAAGAAAACGAAGACCATAAGACCGAAGACAAAACCAGAACGCGTCGGCCTTAGGGGAGCAGCTTCGACCGAGAACTTTACCAAAGACCCTCTGATACTAATAGCTTCTTTGAAATGTCGTGAAGATAGTGTCTATGTGGATGGAGAAATAAATGGTAAAAAGCATACGTTGTTGGTGGATACTGGAGCGACAAGAACCATTATTCGCCCGACAGTTATAAACAGCCGTAAGAAACTGTTACCAACGAGGTTGCGACTGCGGACCGCTACAGGTGAAAATACCAACATTCACGGAGAAATCCAGATACAATTAGGAATTGGAGCAGAAAAGTTCGTCCATACTGTTATAGTTGCTGACATCGAAGAGGATGTTATATTAGGAATGGACGTAATGAATACGCATGGATTCCAATTGGATTTTAAGAATAAGGTAATCAAAGTTGGTAACGAGGAGGTATTTCTCCATCCACATGATGACAACACTATGCAAGCAGCCGTTAAAGAAGATACAGTCGTGCCTGCGAGAAGTGAAACGATAATAGTAGCGCGGCTACAGGGAATTGTGGACGAAGGAACACCTGTTATGATGGAGCCTTGGAATCATGACGACGAAGTTGGCCGTGGAATCATAATTGGAAAAGAATTAGTGACTTCGGCTAAAGAAATTCCTGTGAGACTTATTAATGTCAATGACTACCCAGTGACCATCAAGAAAGAGACAAAAGTAGGAACTTGTGTACCTGTCACATCCATAATCCGTCAGACGACAACGTCTGATAATTCCAACGATAAATTTGATCAAATGGTTGCGGTTGCTGGACAGTCTCTGAATCAGATTGAGAAAAGGAAATTAAGGGAATTTCTTCGGCAGTATCGTGATATTTTCGTACCGAAAGGAGGAAAGACGGGAAGAACTACCGTTGTTAAGCATAAAATTGATACTGGTAATGCTAAGCCAATTCGTCAAACAGCTCGACGATTACCACAGGCGAAAAGAGAGGAAGCTGAAACGATTGTTCAGGAAA